CCTACAGTCAGTTGCCCTTCTGAGGTCAATTAACATTTATGAATCACTTAGATAAATTTGGTGAAAGCTCTAACATCTCCAGAAGAATTTATTAATTTTCCTTTTTAGTATAGTGTTGAAGTGTTATACTAAGCAGTTCTTCTTTTATTGTAGGAAGTATGAGTCCTGCAGGAAAAAAAAAGAAATTATTATGAAATAAAAACTGTATTCAAGGGTATTCTCATGATCGAGACAAATTGCCCAGTGAACCTTTCAGTTTAGAAAAATGTTGAAAATAAGTGCTTGATTTCACTCTATGGGGACAGTGTTCATTTTGGTTTGCAAAAGAGAAGAAGGCAAGAGAAGATGAAGGTTTTTGTTGGATAAAATATATTTAGAGAGCGAATTTCCTGTGGTCTAAGGTGATAAAAAATACTTGACAAGCAGATTCTGTGTATGTGGGGTTCCTGACCAAGAATATCATACCTAAATTTGTTCCCCTCAAAATCCATAAAATATCTCAGATTGCTTGTAGAAATGTTTGTGGTGTGTATTGCAATAAGTGTTCAGTATCCACAGTTCAGAACTGCTCTGCGCCAATGGAATTGCAAAATATTTGTCAACTTTGGCTGACAGCCTAAGGTTGCCACAGCGTTTTTTCTCTTTAATGAGTAAAATAGGTGGTGTTTATAGAAAAATAACTGTCTCTTGAGAAGCTGTGCAAAAAGTTCCATTCAAAACCATTCTGTTTATATATAGTTTTGTTGTTTGTTTTCTTTTCTTTTTACTTACTACTGTGGACATTTGCATGAAAACATGATATTTCTTCAAATTGCAGTCATGGACAGAATAGGAACTATGCCAAAATGGAGCCAACCCACTTCAAAAAAGTAAACTATTTTGCTCACCAAATCTGTTTCTTCTGTGTATGTAAAGTTTTGAGCACTTATTTTCCTACCTAAATTTAGGGCCAGTTTTTTTGCATTAGTCCTGTAAAACCACCAAAACAATATGGATATAATAAAATCTGTTAGTGAAAAGATTAAATGAGTAAAAAACCCAATAACGTAAATAACGTTTATGGGTTAGTATTTACAGTGACAGACAGAAGGGATAATAGTATTTTGTTATGTGTACTGGCAGTTTGTTTTTTTACACAGCTTAGAAACAATGATAAATACTCAAGAGAGAGACACATAGAAAAGCTCAGTCCTGTTTTAGCTGATGGTGATCAATAGAATTAATAAAGGCAGACTTCTCTTATGAATGCCTGCATTTTTTCTCATGGACAAATTTGATTTTTCCATTTTCAGGCTGAATGTAATATTCTGCCAGTTTGAGAGATACACTTTTACTGACATACTGGCATATTTTTTTCTGGCTCAGCAATGCTTTATAATGCCCTTAAGGTTTAGTTCAGGGGTCTGAGGCTGAATGAGTGTACATTAACAGCAACGTTCCTATATGTATTTGCATCACTTAACAGCTTAGTCCCTGGCTTCGGTTCCATCTGGGTGCACAAAGCTCTCCACTGCCCGGATAGCTCTGTGTCATTTATTTCTCTGGCAGGAATGAGTGGGAGAGCAGGTGTGGCACACTGCCACATCATCAGCCCCTGTTGCCCTCATCCTAGCAATAACGAAGGCAGGAACGTGAATCACAGAGCCTTCCAGCTGGAGGCAGCTCCAGCCAGAGCCGTCTTACAGCTGCTCTGCCCTGGTGAGGCTCACTCGCCCTGGACTAGGAGACTACAGCGGCTTGTGGCTTAGAGCATGCTTTTCCTGTTCCTCCTTCTCTCAGTCTAGGGTGGTTCTCTGAAAACTGATACCTATCTGTGCAAAACCTGCTGGACGAAGCCGGCATCTGTGTATACAACTGCAGGTTTTATAGTCACCCTACTAATAAGTAAATATTCCCTCTCTGCTTAATAAATGGAAGAGCAGGGGTTCAGGGCAGGTGAGCATAGTCCTCTGATTGTAAAGATTTCCAGGAAAAGTAAGAGTGGACAGACTTGTGTTTCTACTACGGAGGTCAAGTTTTCCAATGCCATGAGCACCACTTCTTCCCAAAGCTACCTGCAAATCTTTCAGGCAGTCATTCTTTTTTTTTCTCATTTGAACAAATAGTCATCCTACTGACCTTTTCTCACGTAACCAGACTGTAATTGGGCTCTGAGAGCCCAATTAATTAATGACATCCTTGCCTCTTTGGGGTCATATAATTTGTGATTTGCATGTAAAAATTATAAAAACTGTAAAATATAACTTGCAATTCTCCCTGCACATGGAAACAGCTTCTTTTTTGACCATGCCACTTCAAAAAGTCAGGTTCCCATTGCTTAGGCCAAACGCTATTTGAATGTGACCAATTGTTCACATTGTCCTGCTTTTTCATATTGTAGTACTTGACACAGGATTGTGGCTTTATGAAATGTTTGTGAAGTAATTCAGCATAAACGTGCTGGTTAATTTCTTTCATTATCTGTGGGTCATATTCAGTTCCCACCTAGTTTGTTCAGTGCTGATTGACAAACAGTTACAGATTTTAGCAGCTGGCAGTTCATGGTAATTATATCATATAATACCCTAAGTAAATATGTGATAAATAAGCAAATGTAAACCGAATGAGAAATGCAACCCTGGGGACTAACTAGGCCTGAAATTCTCATGGATAAGCGCAACAGGTGAGTAAAGGAGTGTGAGGAATAGGATAAGAATTTCTTAGAGCCTGTCTGCCACAAATACGTCAATGGAGCTGAGTCAGCATGGGAAGAGTACAGTAATTTGCAGCTGATTCAAAAGCCAGTAGCTCGCTGCTACCCTTCTGGGTGATGTGAGGAGCATTTGCCAGAAATGCTGATGACTAACCTTCAAGGGCTCTGCAGAGCTTGCTGCTTCTGCCTGCCACTCTTCAACTCATCTCTTGTGCTGCTGCGTTCCAGGGACGTTCCACTGGAAGCAGTAGCATGGCACAGAGCTGCTGGAATAGCCACCAGCCAGCATCAGACCAGCTGCCAAAAAATGTAAATGATAAGTTGTCTTTTTATAAGTTGCCATTTAAGAATTCATTTGCCTCTCTGAGTTCAAAAATGGTGCCTTGGCTTGGCCTTTGTCAGGTCAATAGATGTAGCAGATATATAGTGTGCACAAATGTATGTTTAGCAGTGTAATTTATATTTCCCTGTAGGATTTCTTCTATAAAATACTCTTCTGCTGTGCTATTCCTCCAGAATTCCTCCAGAACAGTCCCTCCAGAGTACAGAAACTGGGCCTATTTCTTTCTTCCTCCCATCTATGTTTATATTTCTCTGTGTAGAAATACATTTGGTTACTGTGTTGATAATTACTTTCCTGTTAAGTTTCCTCTCTCTTCCTGACCTCCAGCCTTTCTCTGTTTTTATTGCCAGCTCATGGATGCTATGACTGTAGGATCGTGCTAACGGACCCCTCTGGTGTTTTCACTTCTCCGTGCTTTCCCAGTGATTATCCCAATAGCCAAGCATGCAAGTGGATCATCAGAGCTCCTCATGGATTCATCATACAGCTAACTTTTATTGATTTTGACATCGAAGAAGCTCCAGGCTGCATTTATGATTCACTGACTTTAGACAATGGAGAAAGCCCCATGAACCTTTGTGGCATCACTGCCAAAGGATTGTCCTATAACTCTACCGGAAATGAAATGATCGTATCGTTTAAAAGCGACTTCAGTATCCAAAAGAAAGGTTTTAATGCCAGCTATATACGGAGTAAGTAAATCAAAGCATTTCATCCCTCTTATTACTGTCGGAAGGAAATGTCCTTTAAGGATTAGAACAACACTTCCGAAAGTTATATCTAGTCCTCCATATGAAGGGAAAGGATGGGGCAGCTTCAGAAATATCTTTTTATGTTTTTTTTTAAACTAATTTATTTTTGTTATTTTATTGTGAGACATGATGTCAAGTGTGTCAGAAAAACTTTCCACATGCAAAGATTTTAGGCCTAAAATTGTCTCTCCATGCAGACTTATGCTGGAGGATTTGGAAGTGGGACTTCTGTCCTTCAGTTCAGCGTACCTGCAAAGGGACGTAGAAACTTAAAAGACAGCATGAGAAAGAACTTAGCCGAGCCAGAGTCAAGGCCAGCCTGAATCTCTGGCTCAGTGAAACATCCAGCAGTGGGGAGAAGTTTTTGCCAAAGGCAGAGCTGCTCAGGCGTTCTCCCAACCCCTAGAACAAACTTCCAGAGATGAACTGGCATTGCAAAATGGCTACATCTTGTTCCAGTTCCCTGGCATTTCTTTCCCTTCCTTAAATATATAGCAATCGTTAGATTCTAAAAAGCCTAAAAACTGCCTGAAAAAAAGGTCAAAAAAAGACACTCATGCTTTTTACATGAGAGGATAAGGTATAAATAATGTGATTGATGCTTGTTTTGTTGTTTAAAGTGTTAATTATAAGTCACATGACACTGAAGGGCAGTGAGGTAACAGAGATCATTAGGATGATCACTTAGAGGCTCCATGTGATGATAATCAACATTCATTCCACTTCAGGGTTATAATTCACAGTTGCATGCTCTCTGTAGGCTTCCTTTTTGTTGAATCCCGTCACACACCTTAAACTGAACACTAGTATTGCATTGAACATTTATATTATTATAGCACACATGTTCTTTTGCTTGCCTGGCTGCTATACAAACGCAGAGCAGGGAGGTTAGCAGTTTTCTCTTCAGTCACAAGCACATCTTCCTCATGATTTATTTTTTAAAAAAATATTTATTGCACATATCATATCTTTTAAAATAATTAAGATAGTAACCCTCAGGAATCCTAAGCCAAAGTAGTCTTTGATTATAACAGCAAAATTTGTGTGTAGTTCAGAAGAGAAGAAAGGTAATATCATACTAGAGGAGTCAAAAATACTTTTCTACTGAGGTCCTTTTATGCTGACAAAATGAATGTAGAGTAATTCTAGGAGCACCTGTTCTCTTCTGAAAGAGGAAGCAAGTTTTCTGAAAGATTTCTGTAGTTGAAAATATGCAGCCCTTGTCGCATTGTAAGAACTTGTAAAATCAAGTGGATCATAAAAAAATTATATGCAATCAGATTATGAAAATTTATTTATTTACTCCTCTTTAATATTAAATCTTTAGTTATGACTATAAGGGATCAGATGACTTGCAATTGGAATTCAAAGATGTAATGTTGCCTTCAGTTGTGTTCAGCGAGGAGGAGAGGAAAGGTCTACAGACATAGTCAGAGAACTATTTCTCTATATATGCCTATAGGTAATGTATTTTTATGAAAACAAAAACATTACCTCCATGCCAAATTGACTAGTACATCATGTTCGCAAATAGCACCATTAAAGTTAAATAGTCTTGGAGAATATTCTTTCATTTTGAAAAAGATGACTTAAATTTTAATGTTTCAGATATATATTAATTCAGAAACTTTATGTTAAGACTTGCTGTTAAGCATCTGGAGTAAGGCTGCTTAATTTTGTTTCATTACTCCACATCTGTAGCTATCACCTGACATCTTGATTTTGGTCACAGATGCCAGGAGAGCTGGCTGCATGCATCTGTGGCGAATTATAGCTATATTCTGCTTATTGCCCACAGTTGTGCAATTACGTTTGGTTCAAAAGATAGACAATGGCAATGTTTAATGTGGCAATCGATAGAGAAAAGGGGCTTGGGAAAGTGGGTGATAACGTACTGCTTTCCATTCAAGTTGTAAAAGCATGTAGACAAGAAGACATCAGTGCATCCACATGCTGAAATTACAACACATCTGCGTGGCAGGTGTCAGTGCTGTGCTTTCCTGACTTTGCGAAGTGTTCCCAAAGCCACCAGAGAGGTTGCACACCCCGTCACTTCACGTCTCCAATGGCGTTTCAAAGCTGCAGTCAAGCTGACACCGTTGTTGCTACTCCAAATGTGATAGCTGGGCGAGCAAAATCATCAGTTTCTCCCAGAGTGAGGGGAACAAATGTTATATCTATATTTTCTTTTATTTCTCAGAAATGATCGTATGTGAATAATATAAATAAGTAGGTTGTTCAATTTTGAGTTTCACAAAGTAATGCAAGGGTGGAAAGTAAAGAGCTGTTCAAAGACACCCAGCAATTTGCTATCTAGCATTTTTAAAGACCTTAATGGTATATATCCTAATATACAACACGTACAGAAGACGAAATCTATTTGGAGAAGTACAAATATAAGGCAGTAAGTGAGTTTTAGGAGAGATTTAGTCATGAATGAAATAGCTTTTGTGTGACTGCTTGGTTTTATGTGAGAGTGGTTTCAAACTGAATTTCACAGATCATGTCCTGTTATCACAAGTTGACCACCCATGTAAATGTCAGCTTTCCTGGTTGTCACCTCCTGCAGCACACCAACAGATGTATGGGCCATATCCTCAGCTGCAGTAAATGTATGCAACTTCGCTAGTTTTAGGGGATTTATGCCAATTTACACTGTCTGAAGAACTGGCACGTTAAATAATTTTCTAGGAATAGCTAACTGCATAAGTAATAGCTTCACTGGTGAGTAGAAGTCACTCAGTCACCAAAAGGAGAGGAAGGAGAGCCAGCACACCTCTGTGAGTACAGAAATACCTGAAATGATGTCATGTAAAGCTAACATACAGTTGAGTAAGTACTGCAGTAGCCCAGATTAAAAGCACAATTCAGTGTGATAGTGCCAAAAAACTCTCAGACAAGCATTTGCTAGGTAGGCACTTGCAGACCTCATTAAAGTTGACGCATTTCTTCTGGCGTCAGTGAAAGGGCAGATGAAAGCATTGAAGCTAATAACAGCAGAAGCCACCACTCAAGCACCGAACCATGCTGAAAAGCCCATCAACTGGCAGGAAAGCAGTTTTCCCTGCAAGAAATTGTAAAGTACAGTATATGGACTCCTGGCTTGCTTATGTGTAAAGAGGTGGGTGAGCTATGAAACAGCGAGCTGCAAGTAAGCTGGGGCCTCTAAAAAGCAGCCAAGGCAGGCTTTCTGTGATCCCAGTGCTTCTGTAAAAGCAGATGTGGATCTCAGAACAGTGGGCTGCCTGTTGCTCGTTGTTCCTGCTGCATCTGGGCTGCCAAGAATTTTGTACATGCTTCATGAGTAAATAGGACTGTGTCCAAAAAAACACAGTTCATTGTAATCCAGCTATCTTCCTAACAGAAACAATTTAACATCATTCTGAAAGTAGTCTAAACAATTGGATAAATCTTCCAAGAATATATGCATATTCTTCCTCAGAGAATGACCTATTTCTCCAATACTAACATCTGAAATTCATCAGTATGATGACTGGCTGTGCGATAGCAATCAGGAAAGAGATCTGTGCTTAATGTTGATGGCAGGATTCTGATTTCTCCACATGGACAAAACACTTGTCAGTTGTGTCCTTTCACTGCGCGAGTGATTAGACCTGTCAGATGAGTACAGCAAAGTTCAGTAGACTTGTTCAGTACTGGAGCAGCATCCTCCTTGTTTATTTCTGTTCCTGTACTGTTTAAATGTGACCAGGTGGTCCATAACTCTCCTGACCACCCTAACACAGTCTGGAAAGTGCTCATATGAATGAGCTTTCTTCTTTTTTGAGTCTCGAATACTTATACTTCTGGAACACTTTCCATGTTACGTAAAGAAGCTTACAGTATAATTAGCCCATGAAAAAAAATACCCCTGTTTTCGATGGAGAGTTGAACACATTTTCTATCTATAAAATTATTACAACATACTTTTGCCCTTGGAAGGAAAAAAAAAAATCTATGGAGTAAATCCAGTATAAAAGCCCAGTATTTTTCTCTCTTTCCTTCCGTTCTCCACTTGCTGGGTTGGCAGATAATGGGCAATACTTTATTTTCTTTTGCTATATAATATATTGGTTAAATTATGTCCTTGTGTATATCCAAATATGGTAGTTTGGAGCTCAGAGTCTTTGCAAGCAGCTGGCAAAGGGAAAGTGCAGTACCACAGGCAACACACAATCCTTATACCCCGTATATCTGACTCCTCCTGAATGTGGTGTGACAGTCACCCTTCTGTCACATGTCACCTTCTCATATTGGAAGGTTTTTATTTCATTCTGAGAAGGAAACAGGTATAGTAAATAATGTACGTGTTGTGGCATCACTTAAAAATCCTTGGGGAGACTAGGGATTAACTACTGTAGCAGTCATTCCTCAGGTCTAACAAATAACAGTTTTACTCCAGAATATAGTCTGTGAAAATGTGTGAAAAAGGTAGCAGACATTTGCTGCAGGTGAGGTTTACCATGGAACCGCAGAGCCAGAAGTCACACCAAGGGCTGCTGCAACCTGGTTTTGGTGATGTTGATGCCTTTGCGTGACTGATAACCTGAAACTTCTTTTTGTGGAGAAACGTACTAGAATAATTTTGCTGCAGCAAATGTCCAATAAAACTGAGCATATTGACACTTCATTTTTCAAAATAATATTCTTCAAAGTAGGATGAACATATTTGTCATTAATATACTCATGGAGAAAGCATATGTCATGTAATACCATTTTTTGCATTTGATGACTGCCATTTTACCAGTGCAAATGAGAATAATTAGTAACAATTAGAGAGAGAGTAATTGTACCCTTCCCTAAATACCCTTACTGCTGTGCATAATTGCAAGAAGACGAGCCATTTATAGAAACTTGTGCAAAATCTGGAACTCCTGACCCAAATATTAGCAAATCATGAACAGCTTGGATATAAACACACATGAACACACGATTGCAATATTAAATCAGAAGACTGCTGGAGACCAAATGAAAAGATGCTTAGTGCTTTGCAGAAACCTGAAGGCTTCAGTTTGCCAAGGAATGTAGTAGGGGCTTTGTTCTATTGCAGTCTTTAAAAGAAGTAAGGCCTCAGCTTCATCGGTGAAATGCAACCATGTAGACGGGTAATTAAAATAATATATCTTAAAAGCAATTTGTGCTGTGTTTTTCATATAACTCATTTACTCCATTGCTTAATGCATCCTTACTAGATGAATGACTAGTAATTTTTATGAAGTGACTTGAGGCAGAGTTGGAAATTAGTAGGTAATATGTCCTAATATTGCACTTAATGCAACTTGAGGGGATGTTAACCACAGCTCCATTGAGAAGGAGCTCTGCATATTTTCGGATGAGTGCGCTCCCAAGACTAATTCCCCATTGTGTGTGCTATTGGTATATTATGGTGATAAAAAAACACCTGATGAATCTCTCTTTTAACTAATGCTGATTTAACCCCTGCTGACAGTCTGCCTTTATTTCTCCATGATTAATTCAATTTTTTGTTAATTTATGTATCTACTCTTGCTTCTAGTCGCTGTGTCTCTGAGGAACCAGAAAGTCATCATTCCCCAGGTTCCTGACGTCGATGCTGTGTCTGTGGCAGAGACGGTCTCGGTGCCAGAGCTTAGCCAGTTTACACTGTGTTTTGAAGCAACCAAGGGCAGCAGCGATGACAACGATGACTGGAAGGTTTTTTCTTACACCGATGCATTGTCAACAGAACTCTTCAGCTTTGGAAAGTCCACAAAAGGCCATTTTCTGTTTGTCTCGGGCACACAGTGCATCCTTGAGAATGCATTGCCTCGAAATGCAGAGTTTTTCACGGGAACTTTTCAACAGCTCTGTGTCGTAGGGGATAGCTTCTCGGGCAGCATAGGTATATATGCCAAAAGCACCTATCATATAGTGTACTGCCCAGGTATCTTTGGCAAAGTTATCCCTGGAAATGGGAGGCTGGTGCTGGGCTCTAACAGCAATGAAGTGAGCTCTCTAAATGGAGACATTTACAACTTCCGCCTCTGGAATTTCACCATGAATGCGCAAACACTGGCCAACCTCAGCTGCGATGTGAAAGGAAACATTGTAGACTGGGAAAATGAATTCTGGAGTATTCCAACTTCAGCACTGAAAGCAGAAAACAATTTGAGTTGTGGTGAGTATGCCTTGCCAAGTCTTTTTTTGCTTATTTTCCCCCCACACTTCTGCATTGTGCTGAACATATCATATACTAGCACAGAAATAAAAAAAAAAGAGTTCCTGTGAAAGAAAAACAGCTAGGTCTTACCTTTCTTAGCCTTTTAGCTCAACTCTTACTATACACAGAGGCTTTGAGAGGGAGTAGAGTTAATTCCCTAAAGGAAAAGGACAAGTCCCTTAAGTGTATTGAATTGCTGCTTGAATTGTTCTGCAGATCAAAGTTTTTCCTAAACAGTTTATAGGTCTTCCACTCATGAAATGGGGATAACAGGCAAATGCCTGCTAGCCTCAAGTACGTTTACAGTGGTCTCTGGAGAGAAAAAATGTGGTTAGCTAACCGTTTAGTAAATGTTTTTGTACCTGCCCTTTGATTAACCAGAAGGAGTGCTTGCTAGCTTTGTGATATGTGTGCAGAGCCAGCAAAAGCCAGTGACAAAACAACAGTGCATATGAGAGAGAAAAGTATGAAAAAAGATTAAATTAGAGGAGGCAGACAGGAAGAGGTTTAGATCAAAATCATTGGGGTTTATCTTCCTGACAACATATTATCAGTCCTTCTTTTAATTGGTAATTACTGAAGGTCTTTCTTCCTGTAGATTACTCCAGAAGAAGATAAATTTCAATACATTGTTCAACCTATTCTCATTTCGTGGCTCAGACACTTTATTCTCATAGGTGTCCAGGTTTAATTTTTATATAAGTATATAGTGTTACAGCTCATTGACAATTTTCCACTGAAACATTTTTTTCCAGATGAAAAAAAAAATCTTTGTCCTTTTAGACCTTTTTTTTAATAGAATTTTATTAGTAACAACTTTAGAACTATTTGGATAACTATAAAATGCACAGGGGAAAACCTGAATCCTGGCCAGCAGTAGTCTATACACACACGTGATACTTGTGAAAGTCAACTGCTAACTAACTCCACTTCGAGCCCTTCTGTTGTAGCAAATACACATTTGTAAAAAAAAACCCAAAAAACCCAGAAAAGTAAAAATAAACAGTTAAAAATATTGGTTCTTTTTGAATCACATGGGATCTCTTCATACCTAACATTGTCTCTCCAATTTTGCCTTCTTGCTCGTCTGACACCTTACTGCTTACTAGTGTACACATGGTTTAAATAGTGTCAATATAAGTGTCTCCTGACAAAGCATCTGTGTGCACTGTGAGATTCCTTAGCTTAAAACAAAAGCTGACAGCATTAAGGTGTGCTAGTTTCTGTTTCTAATAGTTCATGAGGGATTAAGATGGCGTCTTGCTTGCTTTAGTTTACTCAAACCAAAATGTGAGGTACTCATTCACAGCGAGACTCACTGGGACAGCTCTCAGCATGCCTCTGTTAAAAAAAAAATTAAGGAACACCTCTATAAAAACAGAAGCAACTAGGTGCTTTCTACCAGAACAAAGAGAAGGCTGATCTAAACATTGACTGTGACTGATGAAAGTGTTCTGCACACAAAAAGGGATGTTGCTTTTCAATCAGTACAAGCTGATCTGTCAGAAAATCACTTCCCAGACAAGCCTTACACTGTTACACTGTGAAGACTACCACAGCACTTTTATGAAACAACCTGCCAAGACCTCTGTGACTGTTGCAGTCTAATTTAATTTTGATTGGAGTGAAAGTCTTGTCCTTCTTTCACAGAATCATTGAATCATAGAATGGCTTGAGCTGGAAGGGACCTTAAACATCATCTAGTTCCAACCCTCTGCCATGGACAGGGACACCTTCCATTAAACTAGGTTGCTCAAAGCCCCATCCAGCCTGGCCTTGAACACTTCTAGGGAGGGGAATGCTTCCACAACTTCTGTGGACAACCTGTTCCACTGTCTCACCACCCTCATGGTAAAGAACTTACTGACTTTCTGTTAAGGACTATACAGTCCTGTGACACAAATATGACCCCAGTACTGGGCCCAGTCCTGTTTAACATTTTCATCAATGATTTGGATGAGGGGACAGAGTGCACCCTTAGTAAGTTTGCAGACAACACCAAACTGGGTGGAAGTGTCCATCTCTTTGAGGGCAGGGAGACTCTACAGAGGGATCTAGGTAGGCTGGATCACTGGGCCAAGGCCAATTCCATGAGTTTCAATAAGGCCGAATGCCAGGTCCCACATTTTGGCCACAGCAACCCCCAGCAGCGCTACAGGCTTGGGAAGGAGTGGCTGGAGCTGCCAGGCAGAGAGGGACCTGGGGATATTGATGGCCAGCCGGCTGAACGTGAGCCAGCAGTGTGCCCAGGTGGCCAAGAAGGCCAATGGCATATTGGCCCATATCAGAAATGGTGATGTCAGCAGGAGTAGGAAGGTGATCATGCCCTGTACTCAGCTTTGGTGAGGCCTCACCTTGAGTACTGTGTCCAGTTTTGGGCCCCTCACTACAAGAGGGACACTGAGGTGCTGGAAAGCGTACAGAGGCAGGCTACCAAGCTGGTAAAGGATTTGGAACATATATTCTACAAGGAACAACTGAGGGATCTGGGGCTGTTTAGCCTAGAGAAGACGAGATTGAGGGGAGAACAAAGTTCTAGCGAGGTGCAGGTTGGTCTGTTCTCCCTAGTGAAGAGTGA